TGAAAACTTAAAACTAAAATTAGGAACAGGAAAGAAGAAAGTTGATCACACATATCTCACTCTAGAAGAAAATTTGGGAAAAATGAAAGATGAATTGTATAAGAAAGATGAATTCACCAAAGTCTTAAAGGAAGATCTAGGAAAGGTGAAACATGAACTAGACAGAACTTGCAAGTGGAACAAGGCTTCCGATGCACTCTCCTGGCTGCAAGAGCATCACAGTAGCAACAAAAGAGGACTTGGCTATGGGACTCAAGCTCCAAAATGGGATCCTAAAAGCAAGTACCTCACACTTCCTGAAAATAAAATCTGCACACACTGTGGTAAGACTGGCCATTACAAATATGAATGTAAGGCAAAAGAACAAGCCAGTCAAAAGAACAAAGCTTTTGTTCAAGAAAAAAGTAAGCTGCCTGGATGGGCAAGAAGGAATTTGATTCACCCTTTTGCTTATAGAAAGGGACCCAAACTAGTTTGGGTTCCTAAGACTAACCCTGATTCCTTTTGCAGGTCCAAGTGAAAGNATCTCTTACAAAGTTTTTATATTATGACATTTGAGGCATGTTCAAGGGAATTATACTTGAAGAACCTGGTTCATCAGTATATGTTTATGAGAAAGTTTAGGTATGTTTTCTATACTTAGCACAATTAGAAAGATTAATTTTTCAATCATGAGCAGAAGTCCTATTTTCACCAAACTCCTAGAAATTATATCCGTTGAACATTGAACCAGTTTCATTCTCCTAGAACTCTAAAGAAAACGGGATTCTTGCCTAAAAAATAGCGTCGCCCATTAATCACTAAGAGACCGGAATTCTAAAGTTATTAGACTCCTGATTGACTACTGCAAAAAGGCTGTCGTTAGTGCATTTAATCATAACCCTCTTTAAATACACTCCACATCCTTCTCTTTAGTCCATAACCGTCATTAATCTCTCCCAAGTTCTGATCATCCTCTTTCTCTCCAAAATTTCCAAAAATCCCCAAAATTCTCCAGAAATCCTTCACCATAACAAATCCTCAAGATAACCCTGGAACTCCCCCACCCAGTGTCTCCCTCAAACACATCCTCATCTACTCCTCCTGTTGAAAACCCAAAACCTAGTTTTCGTAGGCAAAAAATGCTAGCCAGAAAAACAGTAGCTTCTGGAGCTTTGAGGAAAGCTCTAAATGAAAAATTGAAGGCTAGTCAGAAGAAGGAAAGTCCTGCTAAAGAATCCGACTCAAGCTCTGAGTCTGAAGCATTTATCTCTGCTAGTGAAGGAGAAGAACATGGGTCTTCTGATACTGACAAAAATCAAGAAACCCCTGGTGAGGTTAATACTTGTTTTGTATTTTCTGATGTGATAGAAAAGGAAGAAAATAGGTTTGTTTTGGTTGGTCCTTTGAAAGATGTAAATGAGGCTGAGTCTAGTAGAAAGGGAAAGAAAAGGAAAGACAAAATTCTTGCAATCTGTGCAGGGGTTGAGGAGAGTGGCAACAAGTCAGGGGGAAGTGGCTCCGGGGAGGCTGCTGAAGGTCTTGCTCATTTGAGTAAACAACAAGATGAACCTGGTTCATTTGTTGAAGAAACCCTAGCTGACATCTTGAAGAAGGTTGGGGCCAGCTATGACCCAAAGAAGCGCAAGGCTTCTTCCCTAAAAGCTCCAACTGCTTCCAAGCCAACAAAGAAAAGCAAAGTATCATCTCCTAAGTCTACTCTCCCTTCAAAGGGAAGAGCAACTAGAAGCAGGGTCAAACAAAGTGAGGAAGAGTTGCAGAAAGCACTGGAAGAAAGCAGGAAGAAAAAGAGGGAAAAAGGAAAGGCAAAAGTTGTGGAGAGTGTTGAGGTTGCAGAAGAAGAAGAGGAGATGGATCTGGTCCATCAAGAAAGAGGAACAACTGAAAAGGTTCCAACACCCAAACCAAAGAGTTCCAAGACTTCGACCAAGAAGTCATCCTCTGTACCTGTATCTGCTGATTCCTCGTTGGCTAAAAGAACTAGGTCTGCTGTGAAGGGAAAACAAAAGAAAATTATTGAAGAAGAACAAGAATGGAGTGGAGAAGAAGAAGAGGAGGAGTCTGAGAAAGAACAGGATAGATTTGCCATTTTTGGCAGGAGAAAGATCTTGAAAGGCAGGTTGTTGAAAGACCTGGAGGAGCCAGGTATGATAAGATTGGTGGATGCCCTAGCTGCACAAGGATGGAAGGACATGATCCTTCAATTGGATGGGAAACTGGCCAGGAAGGAGCTGATTGAGTTCATGGCCAATGCCACTGTCAAGAATGGGGTTGTCACCAGCATGGTGAAAGGAGTAAAGGTGCAGTTTGATGCACCTAAATTGGGTGAGATTCTAGACATTCCAGTGTGGGATATGATGATTATACTAGGCAAAGGTGGCCTTGTCTGGATTCTCTTCCTACTGCACTCCAAATCACTAGAAACTTTTGTGATTCTGCAACTGCTGAAGATGTGCCTGAAGCCAGGTTTGTTCAGAAGAGTGAGATGAGGCCTGAGCACAAGGTGCTATTTGAGTTTGTGAACAAATGCTTGCTGCCAAGGCAGGAGAGAAGGCACACTGCCAATTACATGGACTTGGTCCTCATGGAGTGCCTGGTGAGAGGAATGTAGATAAACTGGCCTGCGTTTATTGTCAAACTACTGGATAGAGTCATCAATGGCTCCAAAGCTCATGCCACACCATATGGGTTCCTATTGACTACTGTTCTGGAAAGGCTAAATGTACCTTTGAAGAAGTGGGAAATGGCATCAAGCAAGGAGCACTTTGGTGTCAAGACTCTTATGGCTTGTGACTATCCAGTGAATGCCACCCCAGTTGAACCTGGTTCATCTCTGAAGACTCCTGTGAATAGCAAGGTTAGGGCATTGGTTCAAGAATGTGGAACAAAAATGCTGAAATTGCTAGGCTCCAGGCTCGTATTGCTGAACTGGAACATTAGAGAAATGGCCTTAAATCTGAGCTAGCAAAGGAAAAGAAAAGAGTGATGGAATGCTTCAGAATATGCTCAACCTTCTCCAAACCCAGCCCTCTAGTTCCTCCAAGCCATAGGATGTCCAGTCACTCTCTTTGAACCAATCTAGAACCCCCCAGTGACCCAGTTAGGGATTTTTTGTGTTTTTGCTCGTGGTTGGAAGTTTTTTTTCTTTCTTTTTGTGGTCTGTGTATGGAGGCATCTCTAATCAATGACAATTTGCTATTTCTCTTGTTCTATTGCAGATTCTGATCTTAATAGTTCATTTTGTTTGCTGGTTGTTGATTAATTAAATCATGTTTTCACTTGCAGTTGCCCCAGTGGCCATGAGTAATTATTAATATCTGGGTTCACAATATATGCAACTTTTCGATGATGCCAATAGGGGGAAGAGATATTGTGCTTTACATTGTATTCTAAACTAAAGTGATATTTATAACCTGATTAAACCTGGTCCTTAATGATAAGTTAAGATTCTGAGTTCCACAGGTTCTCTGATCAGTAAAAGCACAGAGTTTGTCATTATCAAAAAGGGGGAATTTGTTGGCCCAAGTTCGGATGAAGTTTTGAAGATTGACAAATGAACTCAGTCATGGACCGGGTTCATCATGTGAGACACAGTGGTTATCTACTTACACATGTGAGATGCACGTGAAGAAGATAAGACTCAAGGATCAAGCAGCAATATCTTCTGAATTGATCGAAAAGGTTGCATAAAGATGAGGAGATGAAGTATCCTAATGTGAAGAGAACTTAACCCGGATAAAGGATAAGGGTTGGAGTTTGTATTGTTGTAGGACTCAAATTCGACAAAGGATCAGCAATTGAGTCTCAATCAAACTCTGATTACTAACTCATTAAATAACAATGATTGTTCTCTTTTACAGGTGTTGCACAAACACAGAAGTGAAACTAAATTGAGAGCAAAAGAGCGAGGCAATTTTGCAAGCAATTTATGTGAAATTCAAGTGTGCATTCCTGAAGCTACTTGGACAAGATAGAAGAACCAATTCTATTGTGTTTATTCTTATTCTAGTTCAATTGTAGTAGGTGGGTTAAAGTTGTACCTTTCCAGCTTTCATAGAAGCAATTGTATTAGGTACTTTGAGTATTTAAGTTAGTCTTAACTTGAAAGTGTCGCAGCAGTTGAGGCTGTGTGCCACACTAGGATTAGAGTTTAATCCTTAGGTTTACAATAGTTTTGTAAATGCTGTTTTGGCTCAGTGATTTTAGTGGAAGTTTGGGAAAATCCTACTGAGTAGTAGGTCGTGGTTTTTTCACCTTTTGAGCTAGGTGTTTTCCACGTAAAAATCTCTAAGTTCTTTATTTTATGCACTTTTAATTCCGCAAACAGTAGTAGTAAGTACACCTAGAAGAACCAGGTTCTTCTAGAGCGAAAATTGGATACCACACAAATCACCCCCTCTTGTGTGGTATTGACGTTCAGAACATCAACAACTCATTGTCAACCAAGTCACAGGGACTTTCCAAGTTAAAGAACAGAGGCTACAAAAGTACCAGGCTGAAATTCATAAAGTACTACCAGAATTCGATGAATGTCAACTTGACCAGATACCTTGAGCACAAAATATCGAGGTAGATGGCCTCGCCAAATTAGCAGCAGCCACCAAAAACATCACTAAACAAAATGTGGTCACCCTCCTCCATTCGTCAATAGACCAACTTGAGGTACACTCTGTAAATTTGACTTGGGATTGGCGCAACCGTATTATAACATACTTGCAGGAGGGATAACTCCCATCGGACAAAAAGGAAGCCAAAAAGCTTCGAATACAGGCAACCAGGTACAGCATTATCAACCACGACCTGTTCAAAAGAACATTTGGGGGCCCCTTGGCGAAATGCCTAGGGCCGAACCAAACAAGGCGCATCCTCGAAGAAGTACACGAGGGCCACTGCGGTACCCATATCGGCAACCGAGCCCTCGTCAGATGCCTCATTCGGGCAGGTTGCTACTGGCCCATGATGAAGAAGGAAGCCGCCGAGTACTTCAAGAAGTGTGAGCAATGTCAGAAATACGCTCCTATGATACACCAAGCAGGCGAGCTCCTCCACTCGGTTACATCACCAGGGCCATTTATCAAATGTGGAATGGATATCGTTGGGCCCCTCTCAGCAGGACGAGGTAACACACGATTCCTTTTAGTTTTAATTGACTATTTTTCCAAGTGGATGGAAGCAGGTGCGTTCGCCAAAACACGCGAACAGGAAGTTATCACATTCATATGGAGAAACATCATATGCCATTTCGGCATCCCCAAGAAATTAGCTGCGACAACAGACCCCAAATCATCGGAAAAACGATCGCCGAGTTTTTTGAAAAATGGCACATCAAGCGAATACTCTCCACGCTATATCGTCCCGCCGGTAACGGTCAAGCCGAATCCTCCAACAAAACAATATTGAACATCTTGAAGAAAAAGCTCGAGGACACCAAAGGATTATGGCCAGAATTGCTACCAGAGGTACTGTGGTCCTATCGCACTACACCGAAAACAAGCACAGGCGAAACGCCATATTCACTAGTCTACGGGACTGATGCCATGATACCTGCCGAGGTCGGGGAACTAAGCCCGAGATACTCCAATGAAAGCGGATAAAACAATGATAAGAACAGAAAACAAGACCTCGACGAGGCAAAAGAACGAAGAGACATGGCTTACGTAAGAATGGTAGCCCAAAAACAACAAGTAAAAAGGTATTACAACAAAAAAGCCAAAGTACGACCACTCAAAGTCGCAGACTATGTTCTCAAGGCCAAAACACAAGCAAGAAAAGACCCGAAAGAAGGCAAACTAGGAACCAATTGGGAAGGGCCATACAAAATCACGGAAGCAATAAGCAAATGAGCGTTCCAACTAGAAACAATGGAAGGAAAACTACTACAAAACAATTGGAATGTCGCCCACCTCAAATACTTCAACTTCTGAAAAAGGATGTCCCTCAAGTCGTACTCTTTTTCCCTCACCCTGGTTTTGTCCCAATTGGGTTTTCCCGGGGAGGTTTTTAACGAGGCGATGAAGGGGATGTCTCGAAGTTCAAGTATGGTTCATCGCCCCGCCTGCCGACTGCTTCTCCAGGCCGAACGATGAAGGGACTAGATACATGGAAACTTCTCCAATATATGTATGAAATGGACATGTATAGTATTCTCCAATGAATGAAATAAGGCAACACTTTCTCTCCATCAATTTTCTTTTTTGCATCTTCAATTCGACCTCGTTTGAATTACTTCGCATTCGACATCGTTCGAATTACATAACATTCGACCTCACTCAAATTACTTCACATTCGACATCGTTAGGATTACTTAACATTCGACCTCGCTCGAATTGCTTCACATTCGACATCGTTCGAATTACTTTACATTCGACCTCGCTCAAATTACTTCACATTCGACATCTTTCGAATTACTTAACATTTGACCTCGCTCGAATTATTGCACATTCGACCTCGTTCGAATTACTTCACATTCGACATCGTTCGAATTACTTCACATTCGACATCGTTCGAATTACTTAATATTCGACCTCTCTTGAATTAGTTCACATTCGACATCGTTCGAATTACTTCACATTCGACATCGTTCGAATTACTTAACATTCGACCTCGATCGAATTACATCACATTCGACCTCGTTCGAATTACTTTACATTCAACATCGCTCGAATCACTTAACATTCGACCTCGCTCGAATTACTTTACACTCGACCTCGCTCGAGTCACTTTAATATCTACGATCGATTACGCCAAAACACTACATACAAACGGCCAAAAATCCAGAGACCACCGCATAGCAAACAAAAATGACTCCGAAAAAACACAGCAAAAAGGTAATCATTCCATTACAACTGTTATGTTACAAAACTTTTTATAAAGGTCCCTAAGACGCCCTTACAAAAATAGCAGAGCAAAACAAAAATAAATATAACGGCCTACGCCACATCATCTCCTTTAGCATACTCATCATTATACCAAGAGTCGGAGGCGAGCCTGTCCACATCATCATCAACATCGTCCCCTCCAGGCGTACGAGGGTCATTACCACAGGCTTTACGGACAGCACGTGCTTTAACATGGACACCCTCAAGTTCAACCTCGGAAACTTTCCCGTCGACCTTCAGGGACTTGTACACATCAAGCTGAGTCTCAGAATGAACCCAGATCTCATACAACTCCCGCGGCACGACGGGATCGACAGAAGTATGAGACGTAGACGGCCGCGACGGTGCTTTCTCAGCCTTCATAGCAATAACTTGTTCGTTTAATTCGGACAACTCTGCCTCCAGATCCTAAATCCGCTCTTCTAGCCTCGCCACCTTGAGCGCCGACGTCTCTACCTCATTATTCCGCTCAGACCTACAAACACGGAGGGCGTCATCTAAGGCCGCTACTTGCGGTTATGGCAACCACCCTGCTTTTTTCGGCACGAGTCAATTCCTCGACCTTAACGCTCAACTCGTCCCTCAGGTTGATAGCCTCTGTTTACCTCCGCCCAAGCTCAACAGTTAAGGAAGCCACCCGCGCTTGAAGGTCGACATTTTCGGCCATCATCCCCTTACTCACCTCAAGCTCATCCTCCTTGGCCTTAAGAGCCGCCTCAAGCTCGCTGCAGCGACCTATAGCCTTCATCAGCTCATCATCCCGCTCCTTCAGCTCCTCAAATTTCCTCGCCAACTCTTCCTCTCTCTGTTTGAGCCCGTCACGAAATAGCTTAAACTTGCTATCTTGGTTAACGACGTCGGCCAACGCTCGGTGCATGGTACGGTATTCCTTATACTTGGAGGTCATTTTCTTAAAATGGTTGTCCTCCGTTCATCCCGGCGGTCGCGCTCAATCCCCATAACGAGGGTCTGACATGCAAAAGAAAGGAAGTCAGCATAAGCAGATTACACATACGAAACAAATCCTAACAGTAAAATACACTTACTCGAAAAGCCATGCTAGAAATACTTAGCGACAGCTCTGCGTCACTCATCGTCTGAAGCGCCGCGTTCTCAGAAGCAGCACACAAGGGGGCGAAGGACGACACCGCCCGTTCAGAGTTAGACAAAAGGTCGTAACCCACATGAATGATCACATGTCGGTTAGGACCCTCCGTCCTCACTTCCACGCGAGTGTTTCTCTCCAAAAAGGCCCGCACCTCTTTAGGGTCGATGTCCGAGCCTGAACCATCATCCTCTGCAAGCACCGCTCTATCTCCTCCATCCGTCGACGATGCGCCACCTTCAGCAGCCCGTACATGCTCCCCACCTTGATGTACCCCCTCAGCCCTAGGGGACCTCCCCGCTGCAATAGCATCCGCCATAAAAAATCCCCAACATCTGGCACAAGTGCGGACGCCGCCCTCGGGGCAACGACCTTCCTCTTTTCAACTCTAGTAGAGACGGTCTTCCTAAGTTCCATTCTTTGCCTCTTTCTCGATGGCGACTCCTCCCCATTAGAGGACCCATCTATGAGGTGGTAGGTAGGTCGGGAAGAGATCTCATCCCGTACAACAACATTCTGAGAAGAGTCCCTAGTTGACACAGCTTGAGTACGACCTTCGCGGACGGACTCAGGTAAAGTAAATTGCATCCCTGCCGATGCAATAGCCTAGCGAAACGCCGGCAGTGGAGCCTTCTTTTTTGAAGCACGTCGACCTGCCACCATAAGGAGGTCGTATCAACAAACAACGGTAAACACGAAAGGCCGAAACAAAAGTGGCACTTACTAGACGGGACCTTTGGTCCAAAACGTTTGTAGAAAACCACCCAATCTCGAATACCCGCCATATGAGGTAACACGCGAGCCACCCAGTCTTCAATGCCGACGACGAGAAAGGGTGCACGACTCTCAGCTAAAAAAAAAAACAACACAAAGAAACCACAAATGAATGAAAAAAGAAGAGACGAAAAGAAGACAACAGGCATATGCCAACAACACCTACGATTATGGTTCCATTGCTCGAGAAATCCAGCAGGGTCCGATACCAAGTGTTCGATTTTGATAAAGAAGTATTTGTGCCAAAACCTCCAATTCGTCGTGTCATCCATTGATAACTAGGGATTATGATGCATTTTACATTCCTTCTTACTTGAGTTTTGATTAGAAAGGTGTAGAAAATAGTCCCAAAGGCTCACATGTTGTACTTGATTGCAGGGTTTGGTCAACAAGGTGACAATTCATCAAAACCAGCTCAAAAAGGAGTGAAACATGCACAAGTACCAAGAACAAGTCCAAGCTCAATATAACAGGACCAATGCCGTCGCACTTCATTTTGTGCGGTCCGCAAAGAGGAGGTTTAGAGAGTGCTCATTTCAGGCGGCCAAGCAATACAGCCGCAAAAAATTTCATGCGGACCGCATTGACTTCATTGTGGCTGCACTCGATTTTGTGTGGTCCGCAAAGCTCAAGTTCAGAGAGTTGCTAAGTTGGAGGAACATTGCCAATGCGGTCCGCGGTCCATTTTGTGCGGACCGCAAAAGAAGCCACCGCGGCCGCGGTGCATTTTGTGCGGCCCGCGGTGGCCAAGTTCAAAGAGCAGAAATTTCATCCAAGAGCCTTAGTGCGGCCGCACTCGATTTTGTGCGGTCCGCACTAGCCCCGCAGGGGTATTTTTGTCCAAAATTTTCGGCCTAGTATAAATAGTTTCTTTTCCCATTTTTAGGTCAGCAGTTATAATTTTAAGCTGATCTGCGATCGTGAATAATGTCCTTTTACCATTTTGAGTAATTTTACAATAGTTTTATCATTGAATCTTCAAGTTTTAGTTAGTAATTAAATATTATGGATTTTTCTTCATCTATTTCTTTATTTTCCTCTATTATCATGAGTAGCTAGACCCATCAGCTAGGGTTGTGGCTCAACCCTAGTGTGGGTAATTGATGGGTCTTGTGCTTTAAGGCTTGAATGTCTATGGGTGTTTGATATTTGGACTAATTTATAGTTTTAATGTTGAATTAGTGGTTGAAAACACTAGCTTATTCCTAGTTGACTTGGGCTCTTCTTGAGAAAGAGAGCCTAAGTCTATAAAAATTAGTCCAATAAGGAATTGGGGCGTACTCAAGAGACTGATAGCCCCAATTAAAGGGTTAAACCTAGAGATAGTAATACCCGACTTGAACCTCAATTGCTTGCACAAATGATCATACCCAATTGATCTTGAGAAAGTCAATTAGGGAAAAATCATTCGAACTACCGAGAGGTATAGAGTGTGTAGAATCGTGCAATGGTTATATCGTAATCCCCAAATATGACAACCTAGCCTTAGACACGAGAACCCGTCAAGTATCCACCTAGGAGAAAGTCACTCCCCTAGTGCCTTTTAACTAATTAGACAACCTTCAATAGTCTACTCTTAGCTTAACTTAGCTTAATTTATCATCTTAGTAGTATAAATTTAGAAGTAATATCAAAAGCAAATATGTTTAGAAGTGCAATTAGGAACAATTACGTAACTCCAATTTAGATAGAAACTCAATTCCCATCTCTAGCTCTCTGTGGAAATCGATCCCGACCTTCTCGGGTAAAAGCTGCTTCGATCACTCTTGCTAGTTTATAGTAGTACAGGGTTGGCCTCGATCACTTTTTGGCACCGTTGCCGGGGATCTAAAGGTTT